CACTCCAAAAGCTAGTTCATGAGGTTGGAGAGTCCAAAATCCATATAAATCTCACATTAATCACCTATATAACCGATCAGTAATTCAAATCTCATACCTTGCAAAACATATGTACAATAATGAACACAAGAATACCAAAGATAGATTCAGTTGCCTACCACATATCTATATGTATATTTAATATCTATTATATAAAAGGCTCGCCGGACTCTCAGAAAATTATTTCCTGCCTGAAGCACCTGTCTCTTTCAAGCTGTTGATGTTCTTTCAATTTGACGGTTAGGATTAGGATGATTTATTTCTAATTTAGTTTAGAATCTCTACTTTGAGTATGTTTGAGACACAGACCGGTTTAGAGAATATAAGGAGGCAGGGAAATCTTTTTATTTTAAATGAATATTGTTTAAACCTAAAGAGTCCTCTTCTCGCATCCACATTTTAAACATTTGACAACATAAAAAATTGCCTGACATAGATTTTCAGTAAGTGGAGTTTAAAGGTTGTCTGAGATTTTGAGACGAAAAATGCTATTAGTTGAGTGTTAGCATTTGTTTTATAGTGACCAGTAATATTGTTCAGGGATAATACATTAAAGGAAAAACGAGTATTGCTTTTCATTTACTTTATTTGCTGTAGTGAATAGGCTTTTTTGAGAATATAAGTGTTCTGCATTTTATAGGGAGATACAAGTTCTTAGATGATATTTTCGAGTTTCTTAGGTAGAGTTTGAAGATTAGCCACTAATGTTGGTTATTACTTCGATATAACATCTTCATTGTATTGTCTTACTGTTGTTAAGTTGGGCATGTTAAGTTTGGATTTATTTTACATTATAGAAGTAGAGTATATCAATATAATAGTGATCTAGAGAAACAATAGTATGAACCAAAGTTCTACAATTGAGACAATCTCAAGCGAACACTGAGAATTAAAGGGGGAGTATAATGACATGATGCCTTTGTATAGTAACAAGGGCAATAAATATGCAAAAGATGCATCTTCAATGGTGAAGATGGATATTTATATGGAAAGAAGATTTCCTGATGTGAGGGTGAGTTAAAAATTATTTTTCTCTTATTGATCCTATTAGAGTGAGCCAACGCACCCTCACTTATGTATGAGGCATTTGTGTTCAGTGAGATAATGATATAGTATAAAGATGAAACATTTGTCTTATTTTAAGGACATAGGAATTCAACCCCTATAATAGGTCTTAGTGACCGGTCCAATAGATTAGATCCGTGTAACCAATCCATAATAGTTATCATATGTATCATTGGAAACATTGATTTGATTGGATAGATTGCGCTCTAAATTCATTTAGAATATTGTTGAGCTATTGGGTATTAGAGTTAGGTCTGTATTCTTTGAATGGTGAAATATGTTGCTAAAAAGGGGCTCTTAAAGGCAGTTGTATAGATCAAAGCTCTTGGAAGAGTCATTGGGTGTATATCTCAAGAATGACTGAGAGAAAGGGAATGTGTAAGGGTACATTCATTCTGTATTTCAACAAAGTAACAACTCATAAAAGTGATGAATATAGTGTGTCTCTGTGAGAGAAGATGAATATATATAGGTGAGAAATATTCATCCCTATGATATAGTATAAAGATGAAATATTTGTCTTATTTTAAGGACGTAGGAATTCAACCCCTATAATAGGTCTTAGTGGCCGGTCCAATAGATTAGATCCGTGTAACCAATTCATAATAGTTATCATATGTATCATTGGAAACATTGATTTGATTGGATAGATTGCGCTCTAAATTCATTTAGAATATTGTTGAGCTGTTGGGTAGTAGAGTTAGGTCTGTATCCTTTGAATGGTGAAATATGTTGCTAAAAAGGGGCTCTTAGAGACAGTTGTATAGATCAAAGCTCTTGGAAGAGTCACTGGGTGTATATCTCAAGAATGACCGAGAGAAAGGGAATGTGTAAGGGTACATTCGTTCTGTATTTCAACAAAGTAACAACTCATAAAAGTGATGGATATAGTGTGTCTCTGTGAGAGAAGATGAATATATATAGGTGAGAAATATTCCCTAATTATAACAAAGAAAAAGTCATCGCCATTTGTCGAATACTTTAGTGTTGTGAGTGAGGGAACGCATTACAATGTATATTATGGTGAACTCTGTGTAAGAGAGTGAGAGATTGTAGAGTTCTATGATTTCATTATGGTATTGTTTGGTTCAGGATTTTGGTTTACTTCCCCATCTATCTGAGTTTGGTATTATAGGTTATCTTTGTTTGGTTCAAGAGAAATGAAAATTTCCCCAGCCAATTATGTTCCCCAGCCTTCCAAGTTCACGTGCAAAGAAGTAAACAAAACACTGTTCAATTTGTCCATTTGGAACGTGGTATTTGTGTTTAGATGGGTAAGTGGCCAAAAGTTATTTTTTTTGGTGACAAAGTTACCCTCCTCTGACTACGTCTTCTTTATCAAATATATGGCCAAAATTTCTATCCTTGCTTTCTTATAAGTTGTAAATGGAATGATTATTTTTGTCATTTCAACACATTTCCCTATCATTATTTTATCTTCAACTAAACAAAGACTCATAAAATTTAATCCAATTTTCCTGGTAAAGATTTAGACAACCAAACCACTTTTTTTTAACTTTCCTACTATATTCCTATTAATTGCATTTACCTAGTAAAAAAAAAAAAATCTCTTCAACCAAACACCCCTTATGAAAAAGTAGGGGAATGACCCCTTAATGGGCTTCTTAGGGCCAACCTATTATATTAAATTATGAGGTTGGTACAAAACAATTGTTATGTTAATTCATCAGAGTAATCTAAAATAAGAGATTTTGTTATCAATAGGTGAAGTATAAAATCTAAATAATAATAAGTAATTGGACTCTATTGATCTAAGTATTCATATGATCTTAACTTGATCTCTTACTAATTAATCATTAATACTTAAATTTCTAATAATTTTCCTTTCAAATTTGAAAAGCTAAAATAGAAAAGGCTTCCGTCCATAATAAGCCATGCAATTTTATTTTATTTTTGATAAATCCGAGGGCCGGAGCCTAACAAGAAAACAAAAATAAACACCTAAACTACTGAATGTTCAGCAAATGAGGCCTACCCAGTGCCACAATTTTCATGCAAAAATAATTTAATTACTTATTACTCATACTTAAATTTCAAAAATATTATAATAGACAATCTCCTTGCATGAATATATTTTGATCACGAGAATTTTGAATTAGAAAACATTTGAAAATAAAAATAATTAATTTCAATCATGAGAATGAAACTGGAATAAACCAGCAACAAGGGGCTCGTGCAAAAGCTAGACCATTCACAAGTCATATGCAATATTTGTCCTCTCCTATTAGTTACATGACTGGAAAGTTACGAATGCTTACATCATACAGCTACTTCATTTTTTATAATTTTTGAAAAATAAAATATAAAGAAACCATATATTGAAAGGTGTATTTTTTTATTTTTTTTTAAAAATAGAATACAATAAAAATAATGTACACGTACTTTAACAAATACTCTTCGTATGAATGTAAATAGGTTGGGTCAATTTAAACAATGGTTTACATAAATTAAATTTGGGAAAAGTGTTTGTCGTTTTAAATGACATAACATTCTGTCTTTTTAAGAGAGAAACAGATACAGAAAAAAAAATTATTTAAATTTTAAATTAAAAAAAAACACACATTTTCTCTCTCTCTCATGATTTCTATTTTTCTGTGTCTATCTCTCTCCTAAAATGACATAACTTATACCATTTAAAATGACAAACATTAAACTCAATAAATTTATGTAAAATATTTTAACCTTTGTTTAATAGGCTAAATTATAGACCTGATATGTATTATATTAAAAAATAAAAGACCTAGTTTAGTTTAGCTTTCAATACTTATTAAGAATTAAAATAATAAAATAAAATAATATTAATTTATTGATTAAAATTATATGAATAATTATTTTAGTTAAAATAAACTATATAATATAAGTAAATATGTAGCACAGTCTTGTAAAAATAGTCCTAGGTCTATTTTCTAAAAAGGTATTTTTTGAGGAAATAATATCTCATGCAACAGAGACAAAATAGTGGAGTCTATTATTATTTTTTAAATAATAGATCTCATTATCTTGTTTATCTGTTATATAAAATAATTATCTCATACAACATACACAAATTCTTATTTTTTAATGCATAAATTTGTTCCAGTTTATTAAATATATTATATGAGACCTAGCATAAGTCTTGCCGTAACTTTTGATAGGTTCCTTGACCATTTATACCCATCCATATTCATAAATCACATCATGCCAAGGTAAACTAGTACGACAACACGCTGCCTCTGTTTTCTTCTAATCACAATCTTCATTTGTCGTATCCTTCCAAATTCCAATTGTCAGCTTTTTCCGCTCACCATTTATTTTGGGAGCCTGTTTGATTTCTATTCTCAGTTTTTTAGTTTTTAAAATAAAAAAACAAAAAAACTTATTTGAAAAGAGTTGTTTTGAAAAATAAATCCCAAAATACAAGATTGTTTTTTAGTTTTAAAAATTAAAAAAGCAAAATAACTTAGAGATGTTTCCAAAAGTTATTTTCAATGATATTTTTATAAATAAATCTATTTTTTTTAATTTTAAATTATTTTACAGTGACAATTTTATAATTGTGAAACTTTATTAATGGCATTTTTATAAATAACTACAATTTTTTTATAACTTTAAAATTAAATATACTCAAACAAGTTTTATTGTTCTTTTACTTTCAAATTTATGAAAACAGTTTTTGGAAAAACAAAAGCACATTTAAACAGACACTCTTTTTCATTAGTTCCATAATATATTACCACAGAAAATTTAAACTCTTATATCATAGCAAATATTTAATAATTTTTCTACGTCAACGGCCATATAACACTATAAATAAGCGAGAAAAGAAGAACAAAATGATAACCTTTTGATTTAATTATCCCATGATATTTATTATCTACAATAAAATTTAACTAGTCATGGCTGCTCCTCCTTTGCCGGTAGCATATCAAGCAGGGACGAGTCTAGCAGTCCCAGATTGGTTGAACAAAGGAGACAACACATGGCAAATGGTAGCAGCAACCCTTGTGGGGATTCAAAGCATGCCAGGGTTGGTGATCCTTTATGGCAGCATCGTCAAGAAAAAATGGGCTGTGAACTCTGCTTTCATGGCTCTGTATGCATTTGCAGCAGTTATTATTTGTTGGGTTACTTGGGCTTACAAGATGTCCTTTGGGGAAAAGCTATTACCCTTTTGGGGAAAAGCTGGACCCGCTTTGGGTCAGAAGTTTCTCATAAACCAAGCAGGGTTACCGGCCACCTCTCATTATTTTCATAATGGTCAGCTTGAGACTGCTGAGATTGAACCCTATTATCCCATGGCTACTATGGTGTGGTTTCAGTGTGTTTTTGCTGCTATTGCTCTTGTTATCTTGGCTGGATCTGTTTTGGCTAGGATGAGTTTCATGGCTTGGATGATGTTTGTGCCTCTTTGGCTCACTTTCTCTTACACCATTGGTGCCTTTAGCTTGTGGGGTGGTGGCTTCTTGTTCCAATGGGGTGTTATGGACTACTCTGGTGGTTATGTCATTCATCTTTCTTCTGGTATTGCTGGCTTCACTGCTGCTTATTGGGTTAGTAATTGTGTTCTTCTAATAATTCCTCTTTCAATTTACTTTCCAACTTTTCACTTTTGTACTTTCAAACTTTGACTTAGAAAAGTTACAAGGCATGGTGTAACCACTAATTAGGCAGGCAGAATTTACAAAAGGGAAAAAGAATTCTAGGAGAATTTTTTTTTTTCTACCAGAAAAATATCGAATTATGTGTAATAATTTTTTTATTTTTTATTTTAATGGATGATAGGACTCATCACATTTTATGTCTATAATAGGAGAAATAATTCTCTTATAATATGAGAAGAAATAGACTCTAAATAAGATTAAATTATTATTGTTTGTACTAGCATGGAGGAAATCTTTGGGGGAAATTCCTTTTGTCCAAATGTATTGATGCGAATGCTTGAAATCCAAATATATTATTGTTCGTAATATTTGATTTAACATTTCAATAGGGAATTGTTTGATAATGTTTGTAATTTGTCAATCTCTCACTATCTAATAATTTTTTATGGTCAATCATCCCATGTTAATTTACTTGGGTAGTTGTCTTTGCTTTCACGTTTCAATCAAATGTGAATGTGAACCCTTTTTTTGTTGTTGTTGTTGATGTCATGTGTAATTTGAACGGTCAATCATCCTAGAACCTTTGTTTTTTTCGAAATAGGTGGGGCCAAGATCGAAGAAGGACAGAGAGAGATTCCCACCAAACAATGTGTTACTAACGTTGGCAGGGGCAGGGCTACTATGGCTAGGATGGGCAGGTTTCAACGGAGGAGATCCCTACGCGGCCAACACCGACTCCTCCATGGCGGTGCTTAACACCAACATCTGCGCCGCCACCAGCCTCCTCGTGTGGACGTGGCTAGACGTCATTTTCTTCAAGAAACCCTCAGTTATTGGAGCCGTTCAGGGAATGATCACTGGCCTCGTTTGCATCACTCCCGCTGCTGGTACGTAATCTTCCAACTTGCATCTATACTATTATTAATTCCCTTCTCTCATAGTACCATAGGTTTCTTTATATATAACGATAATATACATTGAATCTAATTCATAACCAGGAATCACCCTTTAATTTATAATTATTATTCTTGGGGTATGAAACCAACTTAGAGATTCCGATCTTGACTTTGGGATATCCCTCGAATCGAATACTTGATACTATGTACATCTAATTTTATTGACTAATTTCTTAAATTCTTTAATTTGTTTGATTGGTCTTCTCTTCCTTTATGGTGTGTCGGTTATGGAAAGAAAAATATGAAGCAAGAAATATTCAACTTTAGCGGAACCAAACTAACGTACTTATTATGCTATTGCTTTGTTAGAATTTGAATTCAAATCTAATGTATTATTTATTATATGATATTACAAATTTATAATTTCGACATAAAAGTTGTGGTCAGATTCCAACAACTTGATCACTTTAATCCAAATAGTGACGATAATGTATTCGAAATTCAAATTCGTTGTGTATATATACCTAATATTTTACATAAGGATCCATGTTTTCTTATGTTGCATGAAAACATGAGATAACAAAAGTAGAGACAAATCACATGTGGGTCCCACATTTTATATTAGAAAAGAAAAAAATAATTAATTGACACGGAAAACGAATTAGTGTAGGAAAACTTTTTACTCTCCTATTGCATAAGAGTATGATTTCCCTTTACATAATCGATGCGTCAAAATTTTAGGATTTATCTAATATCTAGAGTTATATGTGTGTGAGGATTCTTTTGATTCCGTTTTCCGAAAGAAAAAAAAAATGTCAACTTGCGATTCATTTTATACTAAGTTTTGTAGAACTATATCCATATATGAAATATTAATAAAGAGTCGTGCTATACAGCACGCATGTATTTTCACGAAAACCATCACGAACTGATATTTCAGCTAACAAATGCTTCCAGACAAAAATGAAAAAGAAAAATAAACGTTTTGACAGAAATCAGCTTCAACATTCGTGAGTTATTTTTTTAAATAACAGTTATAACATGTCTTTAACAATATATACCAGCAAGTATCTCTTGTATTTTATGGATATTTAAATTCAAGTAAAATTTAAAAGTATGAACTCATTTTTTTTTAAATTTTTTTGAAATTATAAGAGATGTATATTAAAATAGAAAAATTGTAAATTATAAAAAAAAATTCATAATCAATTCAAAAGAAGAGAAGTGAACAATGATATGTGCAATTTTTTATGAGAGAATAAATTAAAAAATTAAATCACTCTCAAGATAGTGTACACTAATTTAATATATATGAGCAAAACAACTGAAATTTTGAGAGAAAGATCAACCTTCAATGTAAAATAAAATAAAATACGATTAATTAATTTTAGAATATAAGAAGCTGAAATTTGAAAAAAAAAAATTAATGTAAAAAGAAAATTTTAAAATATCAAAATTTTTAAAAACAAAAAAATAAAGAACGGTGAAACTACGTGTCCTGAAGAGGAAGATAGTACAATAAGAAATTGTCTCAATTTCAAGAGTAAAAACACTATTTTATTATATAAGAGTGGATGCATCGGGGAGGGGGCTGAGCATTTAGCCATCACTGTTCCCCCGCACTCCGAATTAGTCCCATAGCCGGCTCAAAGAGTCGAAGTTCGTGGGGATACCGGAGGGAGCCAACTCGTCTTAAAGAGATAATTAGGGTTGGGTAACTCAAAAAAAAAAAGAGTGGATGCATCTAATCTTGATGTCTTGTTATTAATTAATTACATATTTTCATCATTAAATCATGTATTGTTATATTTTCAAAGAATATTAAGTTTTCAGATAGTTATTATTACAATAAAACTCTTTAAACTGACATTGATCAAAATTAAAATCATTAGCGATTGCATAAAATAAACATATATAACCATGATTCAATCAGTCTTGGTACCAAACTATATTCTTCATTTGTAGATCAAATATATTGGCTAGCTAAGTGGTTTGGAAATGGATTCTCTTATGTTATAATGTGAAATTTTTGTATTTATCTTTTTTTTATTAATAATAATTGGACCTCACCTATATAATGCGTATGGAGAGAGAGATAGAAACAAATTTTACATGACCAGGTAATCTGAAATTTTAACATGAAAAGATTCACTCCGAGCTAGTTTAGAAGTAATTGGTTCATAATAATCATGCATATATGTTGGTGTTCTTTCTGAATAGGTTTGATTCAAGGATGGGCTGCAATAGTGATGGGAGTTCTTTCAGGGAGTGTGCCATGGTTCAGCATGATGGTATTAGGGAAGAAGTTAGCATTGTTTCAAATGGTTGATGACACACTTGCTGTGTTCCACACTCATGCTGTGGCTGGCCTTCTTGGTGGTATACTCACTGGCCTTTTCGCTGAGCCTCGTTTAAGTGCACTCTTTCTTCCTGTCACCAATTCCCAAGGAGCAATCTATGGAGGCCCTGGTGGTGTCCAAATCCTTAAACAAATCGTTGGAGGTTTATTTATCATTGGATGGAACATCGTTGTCACTTCAATTATTTGTGTTGCTATAGGTTTAATCGTTCCACTTAGAATGACAGATGATGAGTTGTTGATTGGGGATGACGCGGTTCATGGGGAAGAAGCTTATGCACTGTGGGGTGATGGAGAGAAACTTAGTATCTACAAAGATGATACTACTCACCATGGAATGGCATCAAGTGGTGCAACTCAAGTGGTCTAGATGATGACAAAACAATGAAGGTGGAAATTAAGATTGAGGGTTTATAGTTGTTGAATTGATTCTTTATTGTTTTCATGGACACTATATACCCAGTGCAGTGCAGTTTATATGTGTGTGTGTGTGTCATTTCATACTGTTTCTTTCTAATGAGGATGTAAAACCCGCAATCCTTAGAGGAAAAAAAAGAAATCTGATTTGTTTTGTGCCTTTTGTTTATGAATATATTATAGTTATACTTTCTGAAATTTATTTTTTATTATTAGATTAAAATTGAATTAACAATTCTTAATTAATGTTATTTTATATTATTGTTGATTTAATTTTAATTTAATGATGAGATGAATTATTATAAAAAAATATGAGAAAAAAAACTATAAATATAACCTCCTCGTGTATATTTGCGAATTGCGATGTTATTTTTGTATTATCATTGTCATTTTGTGACTTCTTCATGTGGAGTGTTAACTACAACATGGCTATCCCCGGCTATAAATGTATAAAGTTAGTAGTTACATTCGAAGTTGATAAGCGTCGGAGATGAAATTTGGGGATCTATTATTTTCGCTTATGTAGAAATTTGACTTCGTAATGCACTTTATTTATTAATTTTTCTATTTATATTTTGGTATTAAATGCATGTGATATATGTGATGCTATATATATCAATCTCTGATTGAGTCTAGAATTAATTTATTTGGTGTATTTTTTCTGATGAAAATGAAAACAAAACCTGGGATTTATTTATTTCTTCTTTCAGATTTTCGCATTTAGTCATATCATTAACACGAGATTAATTTGATTCAAACTGAAACTAATTTTTATCTTATTACTCATTTATATAGGATGAGATTTTCTCAACTGGCCAAGTAAATTCAAGTAGAAGAATATTAGCAACATACTCCTTTCAACATATTATTTTATTGGGTGAATTTTATGTAAATTTCACTAAAAAACAATAAACTTATATATGTTATATATTGAACCTCACATAAAATTTATCTAATAATAAAATATATTGAAAAAAAAGTACGGTTACACTATGGTACAAACCAAAGTAAACGGGCCTCACCAATTACATGCAATTTGGGAGGAGCCAGGGAAGGCAGCCCATGTCATAGCAATTCTGTTTAGTGGCCCATAATTTATTGTGTTCATCATCTCATCTAATTCCACTGTCTTTTTCTTTGTGGGAGTGGCTGTCATTCCACCCTACAGAAGTAATAAAATATGGATGTGATCTGAGTAAGGGAGTAAATGGGTTGGGCAGGGCTAGACTTTGGCTTAAATAGGCTAAGTCTGTGTTAAAAAACAATAGGTATGACCTGGCCTATTGGCCTATGTAGGCTTCACACTTAAATATTCAAGTCTGGCATTCCTATATTTAAAAAATAAAAATCTTGGTCTAGGCCTGTTAGTCTGTTTAAGCCTATTAAATATTCAACAATTAAATGAATAACTAAAATAATATTATTTTACTATTCAAAATTATTAAATAAGAGGTAGGATCCTTTGACACCAGTGTCAAATTTCAAATTTGACACCTCATCTTATAGCCGTGAGATAAAAAAAGATCAATGGAGTCACATGCTTACAAATCAGAGTCGTTAATCTTTTTTGATCTAACGGCTAGAAGATGAGGTGTCAAAGGATCCTACCTCATTAAATAATAATTCTATTTATTATATTTTAAATGAATAATATGATACAAGCCGGCCTGTGGGCTTAGAGACCCGGCATGTACAAAAAAAAAGCCTATGGCCTGTTTGCTAAATAGGTTTTTTTAAAAGCCTACGCCTATTCTATTTTACTACTTATAATAGGCCAAACCTGACCTAATATAGGCTAGACCGTAGACCTCTGTAGGCCGGCCTAGCCCATTTACACCCCTAGATGTGAGGAACTTCGTCCAATGTCATTAAAGCCCACGGGTCAATCCGTAAAATCTTATATTTAGTTTTAGGGAATTACATTGATTATTTAACATGACACAAAAAAGTTTCCTACACATATAATATTTTGTGGGGTCCACACTTTTTGAAACAAAAAAAAATAAAATCAAGGCACGCAAAACGAATCTCTATAATATTACACAATCACTTTTCCTATAACATAACTCTTCTAAAACCATTAATTTTAATGGCTATTTGGCTCCGCAGGTTTTTTGCCATAATCAGTGAATTAGGACATAGTAAAAGGATAATTGTACTCTTATATGATAGCAAATTTTTTTTTGTCTCCTACACACTTAAGTTGAAGTGGAACCCAATACGAACGAGAAGAAAAAAATAACACAAGTATCGATGTATGAACAGAACATAAAAAAAGTTTCTGTTGCATAAGACTAACATTTCCCAATAGGTTAACCCATTTTGACATGTCTAGGCCTGTCAATGGATGCTTTGTGATCCACTCATTATCTCTCTCATGCTGCCCTAATTGGTAAGTTTATTAATTTTGAGTATTTAGGGATAAAAACACTTTATATTTAATGGTATGTTGACTTCTGCAGTTGGAGTTGTTAACCACATAAGTATTTCAGACTTTACGATTGTTGAATCCGCGCCCCCCCTCATGAGTGGTACTTTGAAGGGATTAATTGATAAATATAAGTTATTGGTGTTTATTTTTGTATTTTAATTCATTAAACAATTCATATTTAATTTATTGTAATTAAAATTATAATAGGTTTGGAAAGCTGATAGGTCAAGTCACAATTTTTATTATTAAAAGAAAAAATAGGTTAAGTCAAAACTATAATTTAACCTTAATTATATTAACAAGTGAAGTCAAAATCGAAATATTCTCCATCAACATGACCTATTTAGTCCCTTTTTTTACATTTGTGTAATGACATCTATATAGGAGTAAAATTCTTATATCAATTTTAACTTTTTTAATTAGTTTTTTTTCCTTAAAACACATTGAACTAAAAAAACCTAGTAGTACAATTAGCACATGATTTTATAATTAAAATTAATTATTATAATTGTAGTTTAAAATTAATTAAAATTTAAATTAGCATAAGAGTGAAATTAAAGTATTACTTTTGTAGTTTAACTTAGCTATTTAATAAAATTATTTTGAGAAAAAAATAAATAAAATAAAATTAAGAAGGGACAATAGACAAATAAAAATAACAATAGACACTCCCGAAACTAACATACAACGCTTAGGAGCTGCTACATACTTATTAAACTAATTTTACTTGTAAATATTAGTAGTTTAATAATTTATTAAATATTTATTAATTATAAATTCTCATAATATATATTTAACAGTCACTAATTATAAATTTCTAATAAGTAAGAAATAGGAAATTTCTTTTACAAAAAATAAATAAATTAAAGAAATAGGAAATATCGGATGTTTCTTTTTTTGGTGTGGGATTTCGGATGTTTTTAATCCTGACAAAATAATCAACATTACTGTAATTACAATTATCACTATTATCTCTCACCAATTTTTTTTTTTTTTCGGAGTTACCCAACCTTAATTATCTCTTTTAGATGAGTTGGCTCCCTTCGGTATCCCCACGAGCTTCGACTCTTTTGAGCCGGCTATGGAACTAATCCGGAGTGCGGGGGAAACTAAAAAATCTTATTGATATTAGTTAAAATTGGGTCTTTATTTTCTTCATTTATATATATATATATAACATACATCGGTGTTAGAATAAAAAATCTTACCCCAAATATTAATCGTTTATTTCCGTATATCTAATAGTTATAATTTATTGAGGATTAATAATTAATTAATTATCTTGTATTATTTCTTTTTTTTTTCTTTTAGTTTCATATATATTCTATAATATAGAATAGAATATGAAAAAAAATTCTATAGAATAAGAATAAAATACGAATATTTAATTAAATAAAAAATATAATATATAGAGAATAAAACCATGGTATTAGCATCTAAGGGTGGGAAAATGAAAACCGGAATAAGTGTCCACTTCTATACATTCCGCATTCCAACTTTTTGATTTTTCAATTTTTGAGAAGTATTTTGCTAATTATTTTGTTATCTGTCTAGTGTCTAGTCAGGCCAAGGTGTCTTTTAGCAGCTGGTATTATATAATAAGGCTTTAGATATTTATTGTAATTAAAGTATTAAACTATAAAATAATAAAAGACTTATGGCAGAGACAAGAAAACTTGGATTTCACAGACAAAATGCTTTTAATAAAATAATTACGCATTTATTACAGTTTTAAGAATAATTATGGATCTATTGTATAATGTGACACCCCTTTTGGTGACGCCCCATTGAGGCGTCTCACCCTAAGGGGAGACGCCCCAATGGGGCGTCACTCATTAGGTGTTGACACGTGTCATTTTTTTTTTCAAAAAAATAATAATTTAATCATAAAACTTTTAAAGGCCATAACTTTTGACTCGGGTATCCAAATCAGATAATTTTTTTTTTGATTCCACAAAACTTTTCGAGATCTACGCAATGACATTAATCATGGTATTATAATTTGCAAGAATAGTATTATAAGAGCGGTTAAATCCAAAAGCCTCCGAGTTCTAGGTTTGTGATTTAATATAAAAAATAAATAAAATTTTGATTTGTAATTTAATTTTTTTTATAAATTTTTTTATTATAACAAAAATTTGGTCTGTGATTTAAATTAAAATTAAAAATAAAAATTATTATTAATAAGAAAAACAAAATAAAGATTTGATTTGTGATTTCAACTAAAAAATCAATTTGAAAAATCTGTAAAAACAAAGGAAATAATTAAATAAATATTCTAAATCTCTTAGGAAAAAGGATATTATTTATGAAATTAATGATTAATGCTATAAGCTTCTGGGTTATTACTCGTGGTCTGAAATTAATGATGATTTATAAATGTTTTTCAAAAATAAAATTCCCTAAATTAGGCGTGATTGCCTCTTGATTGAAACCCAATTTAGACGTAATTGGTGACGTGTCAGGTGAAGAAGGATATTATTTTTGAAATTAATGATTAATGCTATAAGCTTCTAGGTTATTAATCGTGGTCTGAAATTAATGATGGCTTACGAATGTTTTTCAAAAATAAAATTACCTAAATTAGGCGTGAGTTCCTCTTGATTGAAACCCAATTTAGACCTGATTGGTGACGTGTCAGATGTTGACATGTGTTGACACGTGTCACATTTTTTAACTCAGAAGCCTCTGAGTTCTGCGTTTGTGATTTAGTATAAAAAATAAATCAAGATTTGATGTGTGATTTAAATTAAAAAAATAAATTTTTTATCTTTATTATAAAAAAAATTTAGTTTGTGATTTAAAATAAAAAATCAATTTGAAAAATCTGTATTAATAAAAGAAATAATTAAATAAATATTCTGAATCTCTAAGGAAGGAGGATTACCTGATTTAAATTAAAATTATGTATGTCAGAAATAAAATATATCAAATGAGATGTCATTGCGTAGATCTCTAAAAGTTATGTGGAATCAAAAAAGAATTACCTGATTTGGATACCCGAGTCAAAAGTTATGGCCTTCAAAAGCTTTATGATTAAATTAATTGTTTTTTGAAAAAAAAAATGACATGTGTCAACACATGATGAGTGACGCCCAGTTGGAGCGTCTCCCCTTAGGGTGAGACGCCTCAATGGGGGGTGACATGTGACGCCCAAAAGGAGCGTCACATTGTGCAATAGATTTGTAATTAATCTCAAAACTGTAATAAATGCGTAATTATTTTATTAAAAAATATTAAATTAATTTTTTTTTGCGATCTCACACGGAACCTGATAAACCAAACTAAACAAAACGTTTTACGATGCAAGAAGATTGAATGTCCCTCCAAACCAAATTAAACTAGACATTAATGGAGGATTATCCAATTCAACAAAGACCTATCCATCTCGGTGTTTTTATTTATTTATTTCAATCCTGTATTTTGTTAAATTTTCAAAATAAATACGTATATTATTAGGAGAAATAATTTCTGTATTTATTACAAAAATTATATTCCCTGCCACTCATAACAAAAGAGAAAGAGAAAAATTAATAAAGAGAGAGAAAAGATAAATATAATGGGATCCCATTACTTTTTTATTATCAGTGGTAAAAAAATAATTTCTGCAATAAATGTAGAAATCATTTCTCCATGATATTATTATTACCGTCCCCTTTCTGGTAAAAAAGAAGAAGAGGTAAGCTAACATGTTTGCACTTTGGTTGTTTGGATTTTCCAATACAGACAAAGTGCAACAATAAACAATAATATAAATATATATATGGGATAAGATATTATGACAACTAAATAATGTTACTACCAATATTATTACCACTTCTTAACCGTTGATTTCCGGCAATCAACGATTATCATTTTTCAAATCAAACTTATTAATTAATTATTAATTCGCAATAAATAATAACCGTTGATTGACAGAAATCAACGGTTAAGATGTGGTAGTAACATTATATGGTTGTCACAATATCATATCCATATATATGTATACAGGGGTAAACATTTTTACAGCCACTTTAGATAAGGTTATTTACAGTCACCATTTTTAACTATGTTCTCCGGAGAACATAGATGTAATATTAAAGTTGTTTTTTTCTCTCCTCAGTTACTTTTCAGAACTTGTTTGCTGACGTGTGAGAAAAAAAAATCAACTTTAATGTTATAATTATGTTCTCCCGGAAGAACATAGTTCAAAATGGTGACCGTAAATAACCTTAACTAAAGTAACTCTAGAAATATTTTTTTCATATATATATATATATATATATATATCCTTCTCCTTTGCAAATTTCCTTCTCTCTGTTGTTTGTCGCCAAAATATCCAACAACCGCACAGCACAGCAATGGCTATAGCTTTGTTCATCACTCCCATTGCCAATAATAGCACCAAGAACTGCCACGTGAAACATGTTTCAAAGCCACCACCTCTCACATTATGGTTGCGTCAAATAGATCATGCTTGAGTAACCATCAACTTTTTGTGTTATTATCTATTTGAGACCAAAATGGGCTTAAAAAATTATGTATTTTTTAAAAGTAAGAGTTACTTTATGTTTGGATCAGCATTTAAAAATAATTTTTAAGTAAAAAATAGTTTTTTTATGAAAAATGTATTTCTTATATTATATTTGATAAAATTATCTCATATAACATATAAAAAATGGATGAAACTCATTTTTTTTCTTTCTCTTTTTCTTAATGGGCTTACCCACTTTTTTGTTTGTTGCAATATCTCGTATAATATGAGAAATATATTTTCCTTTTTTTTATTGAAAGTTAAAAATATTGGTTTCAAAAAAAGATATTTTTTCCCTAAAATTACATCTAAATACATACATACAGTGAAAAATACTTATTTTAAAAAACTTAAATGATTTTAGGAAAAAATGTGTGTCATGTTAAAAGATGTAAAATTATGTCATTTTAAGATAAAGAAAGAGATAGATAAGAGAGGTGAGAGAATTGATAAAAAATAAAATAAAAGTGTGGATCTCACCTCTTTGTGAAAGTGAAATGATATAAGTTATGTCATTTAAAAGGATAAATATTTTTTCTATTATTTTAACCGTTAAACAACGGGATCATTTTTTTAGTAACGACTACAGATCTTTCTTTTTGGCAGTAGACACTGAAAAATAGGACTCAATGATTTTTTATTTTTTTTAAAATAAAATATCAAGATCCAACATCATAACCTGAAATTGTTATATATTGCTGCAGAAGCTTTTTTCTACACCTTCAGAAAAAGTATATTTCCCTCAAACAACATGCATAATTTTTTCTTTTTATGTGTTGTCAATAATTTTCAACGAATCAAAACAACCCACTATCTGGTATGCGTGTGCTTCACACATGATGCCATAATTATCCACAACACAATTCATTATCCTCTAAACTTTAGTGAGTCTTCGCCTTCCTTAATGGTGCCTTTTAAAATCTAAAGTGGTTCTTTTCTTTCTTTTTTGCCTTTAAAAAGAAAAAAAGAAAAAAGAAATTGAAAGAGGCGGGGTCATAAAATTAGGAGAATATAATATGAAATCATTTTTAGTGGAAACTTCATTTGTGCCACACACAGCTCAGCACAAAGATGAGAGAATGAGATATATGCCTTTCACTCACTAGTCACTTGGAGTTGGAGCACTTTGATCAAATTGTTTTAAAAGATAGATAAAAGGGGTGATCAACACTGCGATTATTATCAACATTCAACAAAGTGAAATACGAGTTTAGTGGGATTCTCATTCTCTTCCCACCACTGACATTACCAACACACAACCAACTAGCTCTTCTATTCTATCCTTTCCCATTGGCCTCTTAATATATTCTTTTTTATTTATTTATTTAATTTATTATTATTATTATTTATTATTATTATTATTTTGGTTCACACATTATACATATTTATTTACTTAAAAAAATAGTCCTCGTTGTTTCCCCTTTAAGCCTTGTTGCTCATTGCCACGTGGGTCCCTTGCACTACACCATCACTTGATGTTGATACTCATCATTGTGACAACAATAAAGTTAGTTCTCTTCCTTCATTTGCTTCTCTCCTATCAGTGTTCATGGTGTTATGCAGCGCGCCAAAATAGTATGTATAATACACTACACCTCGTTTTTGTTTGGAACAAATGTTCTGTTTTGGTTTCTTAAAACTGTTATGCATGACTTTGTTGCTGTTGTGAACTTGTATATCCAGCTATAACATTGTTTATATATGTATTCATGGGAATAATATTTTTGCATAATTTTATTATTATAATTTGTTAAAATGTTATTAAATTGTTTCTCTTTGGTCATTTTTTCTTCCCCTTGAAAATTTTGGAAAGGTACTCGACCAGGTGAATTCTCCTTCGAGATCAAAGAGGTTTATATGTTTCCCCCAAGTTTTAGCAGGGGTCCTCTCAAAATATTGACGAGGTGGCTCATATTCCTTAGTGTCTTGAAACTCAGTTATGCAATCAAAGATCCTGATGTAGAAGGTGTGTTCAAATTTTCTGTTATACCTTTCTCACCAGAAGCATATATATATATTGTTTGAATTTAATTTTAATTCCCTGTGTTACCGGGTAATGAATTTTAAGCTTTCAATGAATCGTATGATCATACATGTTTGAAAAAACCGTTTAAAGCCTTCACTGCAAGTGAAAAACATTAGTTATTATAAATAATGATGTAGCACTGTCTTGTTATAGTTAAGTGTAAAGACTTATTTATCAGTATAAAATTTTTAATGCTGATAGAGGATCAAATTTAAAATATTGTTTTGCGCTTGAGTTTTGGTACCGAACTTTGATAAATTTGACATTTAGGATCACTCTCGTGTTGCTCTATTCTCATCAGTGATATACATGTTATGTTATAAGCTAGATTGTTGCTACTTTTGTTTCCTTAAACCATTTTTTGACCATGTTATTCTCTGGTTCGTTATCGTGCATAACTTTAACCCCCATGTGACAATTTTCTTTAATTTTATTAACACTCTTAATTGAATCATTCTGAACTATTTTGGCTAATATCCAGGCGAAGCTCTGCTTGATTTTTTGACGGACCTCAATGATTCCAATAAACGAATAACAGACTGGGATAGTCATTTAGTGAGTCCGTGCTTCAGTTGGTCTCATGTCACTTGTAGAAACGGACATGTCATATCTCTGTAAGTTCATCCACATAGAATGTACAAAATGCTCCTGACTCTTATTTTCATCATTTTCTCTATCCTTTTTATGTTGCCCTTCGACTTTTTAAGGTTTGCAGTAATTTAGCATGACAATGCTAATCAATCTGCAGGACTCTGGCTTCGATTGGATTTTCTGGAACACTTTCTCCCTCAATTGCCAAATTGAAATATTTGGTTAGCTTGTAAGTTGTCATCTTGATAAGTTGACATTTATCATAATTTATTTTAAGTAAATTTTCCCAGAATTAGGAGTATGGTACCATAAAAATTTAGTTAGTTTTTGGATTCTGCTTTTTAAATCTACATTGCATTCGACAAATGCATTATTGCATGTTGGAATCCTCATTCTCTATTAAAAACTTGAAAAGTCATGCTCTGAATATACAATATTCATTCATTTTGGGTTTATCCCAAATAATCATTTTACTATGAATAATTTTTGTCTTTGAAGATTCATCCTCAATCTGTTAGGCAAATCAACTCATATAATTGAAGATTATATAGAATCAAATGTAAAATATATCCCAGGTCTTTGGTTTAGTGAAGAGAATAACTAGTGATGTGGTTTTTTCCTTACATGATAGTGACCTGCCTGCCAGCTTGTCTTAACTATACTCTTCATGATCATGCAGGGAATTGCAGAATAACAATCTTTCAGGCTCTTTACCTGATTACATTGCCAACTTGACAAACCTACAATATCTAAATCTTGCTGACAATAATTTTGATGGTTCTATACCAGCTACATGGGGTCAACTTTCCAGTCTAAAGCATCTGTAAGGCTTCACTTTCCATTTCTTAGGTGATGTGTGTATTAAAAATGATAAAAAAAAAGCTTCTTGGAGGAATAAACAGTATATAATTGAAAGTGATGACCTCATGTGTGATTCAGTGTGTTGAGAGGGAACCCTTATCTGATAATGTTCCTGATGCAATTGCAAATCTTAGAGGGTAGGCAAAACGGTTAAAATTTGTATTCTAGAGACAATTTTTATCTTCCTGATTTTGGTTACTACTTCATTTCTTGAAAGTTTTTGGTGCTTTCCCTATTCTACTACTTTGATCTTGAATGTTATAATTGATTTATGTTTTCTTTTGACAGGGACCTTTCATCTAATGGTCTTACTGGAAGTATCCCAAAGCAACTCCTTTCAGTTCCATTGTTTAAGTAAATTTTATTAGAACTTCATATTCACTTTAGTATTTTCATTTTGTAACAAATATTTCTGTATACTCTTAATTTATGGATTATTTTTTGCATTATTACTTTCAGCTTTTCAGATACGCACCTTCATTGTGGCTCTAGCTTCGAGCAGCCTTGTGTTTCTAAATCTGAACATCCAGGTTTGATTGTATAAACAAACCAAAAAAATAGACGTATGTAATTGTTTTTTTGGTACATATGAAGATAATGTAATTTAGCTTGACGAACATGGGCTACCAAAAAAAAAAAAAGATAGCTATAGCTACCTAAGGTTTACCTCTTCCTGCAGCTTCAACCAACAAAACAAAACTTGCAAAGGTTGTCCGTATTGCAAGTTGTGGTGCACTTGCACTTTTGTGTCTTGGGGCTATCTTTACATGTATACACCACCAAATAATATACAGACACAGAATGGATGTCTTTGTTGATGTTTTAGGTAATTTTTCCTTTCTTGTAAAGATCTTTGAGAGTAACGCATAGTCTATACTTTATAAAACTCCTTTGGAAAGTAATATCTGATAAATTTTACAGGGGTAGACGAGAGCAAAGTTTCTTTTGGGCAATTGAGAAGATTTTCTTGGCGTGAACTGCAACTTGCTACTAAAAATTTCAGTGAAAGCAATGTAATTGGCCAGGGTGGATTTGGAAAAGTGTACAAAGGAGTACTCTCAGATAATACAAAAGTTGCTGTGAAACGCCTCACTGATTATCCTAATCCTGTTGGAGAGGCTGCATTCGAGAGAGAAGTTCAATTTATAAGTGTTGCAGTTCATAGAAACCTCCTAAGACTAATTGGGTTCTGTACAACGTCAAATGAAAGAATCCTGGTATATCCTTTCATGGAAAATCTAAGCGTAGCATATCGATTGAGAGGTAACAGTGATAACTTCTTCCATCTTTTGTTCTTCCTTTAATGCTTAGACTAGATTGCAGTTTTTAACATTTTGATCAAGCTTCAAACTTCAGTTTCAGTCTTAAACAAGTCAAAATCTTTGAGAACATAACATGTATGTACTATTTTTATTTTTAAAATACAATTTGAAGGGACATACAAATATAAAGACATATCAATAGTCCATAGTGAAACTATGAGAAATAAGGGAATTGGTTATCTGATCCATTTGTTTCCCAGCTTTGTGCTAATTGTCTAACATTATTTCTCTATGCTGCCTTAGATTTAAAACCTGATGAGAAAGGCTTGGACTGGCCAACAAGGAAACACATCGCTTTTGGTACAGCCCATGGTTTGGAGTATCTACATGAGCAATGCAATCCTAAGATAATACATCGTGATCTGAAGGCTGCAAATATCCTACTAGATGATGAGTTTGAAGCTGTTCTTGGCGATTTTGGGCTAGCCAAGCTGGTTGATGCATGGAAGACTCATGTTACCACTCAAGTGCGGGGCACAATGGGTCATATTGCCCCAGAATATTTGTCCACTGGAATAGCAACAGAAAAGACAGATGTTTTTGGATATGGCATAACACTTCTTGAACTAGTAACTGGTCAGCGTGCAATAGACCTCTCTAGGCTTGAAGAGGAGGAGGATGTTCTTCTGATTGATCATGTAACATTTTCTATCTCCTTCACCCATTACTTGATTATGTAATACATATTAAATTCCATGCACTATCATTGTCTTTTCTTGCTCTAACCCCTGAAAATCTTTTTTTTTTTTTTTTTTTCATTTTTGTACTCTTTAATTGGTAATTGGTTGTTTCTCTTTGTCCTTTTAGCTTTTGTAATAATATATTTTTCAAGATGTGATGTTAATTTATATTGATGAATCATTGAATGTTCTATAAACAGGTAAAAAAGTTACAGAAAGAAAATAGGCTGGAGGACATTGTGGATAGAAATTTGGAGACTTATGATCCCAAAGAAGTTGAGACCATTCTTCAGGTTGCATTGCTTTGCACCCAAAGCTTTCCTGAGGATCGTCCAACCATGTCAGAAGTAGTAAAAATGCTGCAGGGAGTGGGTTTGGCAGATAGATGGGCTTGCTGGAAGCAACTTGTAGAAGCTGGGACTCAAGAACAAGAATTAGCAGTCATGACTCACCAATTTGTTTGGAATGATGAATCTACAGTTGACCAAGAAGCTATACAGCTTTCAAGAGCAAGATAGGCAGAGATGAGAGTCAATTTTGAAATGTGGTTGCTTGTTATCATAGAATACATATATATACTTTACTATTCTTAAAGAAAAGGGCTTAAGTGCCTTAAAAGTCTGTGTTATTTAGCGTTGGATATACAATGAAAAAGAAAGGAATGAGAGGGTTTGGCACAGACAATTTGTTGTATTTGAATAGAGGCGAAAATTCTGGTTGCAATATGTGTAACATAACTACATGTACCTTTTGTAACCTTGGATAAGTCTTCTTCTTGTAATTGCCATGATCCTTCTTTGTAGTTTCCTTCCTTGTTTTTGGTTTTCATGGCAAATTGCGAAGCAGTGAAGGCCCATTTTATTTTTTTATTTTTTTTAATATAAAGGCCCATTTTATTAATCTTCTCGATTTTATTAAAGGTGGTAACTCTTATCTTATTTTTTGGAAAAGAAAATCAATTTTACTTTGAAAAACTATTTTTTTTTTAGAGATAGGTTATTCTGCTTACTCTTAATTTGCCTATCTCTTTCAATACTGTTATATCATTCAACGAATTAATTTTGCTATTTTTTATTTTTATTTTTGTGAGGACTTGGCATCCTAAGTCCTAACTCATTCTCCCGTATCTAGTCCCATCTCCGAAGCCAAGCACAACTCTAGAGATGCTTATGGGTAAGCTTAGGGCTGTGCGCCCGTGAATATATGGCCGAATCTAAACTCAGAGGGCCTAGCAGTGATGCATAGACCGAAGCTTAAATAGACATGGCCCATTATATCCAGGTTTTATCGATTTACTCAAACCTATATAAGATTTTTTAATTGAAGCTTCAAATGACAATTTATAGATTTGAACATGATGCATAGATAATCTTGTGATGAACTGCTTCTCGCATTAGACCACACGCTCTTTATGAGTGATGTTCTTAGTTTTTTTTTTTTAATTATACTATAATATAACCAATCTAATTTTTGAACATTAATGTTAGACTACTATCACTACAAATTTGGTTACATCATTAGTACTTTCGTCGTATAATTTAATTTTTTATAAAGCTTTTTTTCTGTATAAAACTTTTACACCGAATTATATTTTGTATTAAAAAAAATCTTTGTATAAATATTTTATGGTTTAACCACTTTTTTTTTTGGTATTTATGGAGGGTTAAGGCCCAAAGAAAAGAATTACATAATCATAACATCACACAGTGATACTATTCCAGCATCCTCAGAAAGCAAGTCTATTGAGTTCTGGTGGAATATTATTAACAATTTGAAAACCTAATCTACTTGGTAAGCATGCACATCTCTTGTATTGCCTGTGCAAATGATTACTTTTAAAAAGCCAATCTTTTTGCATGTATTCTTGTATTTGATAGCATATATGTGATTCCCTTACTTCCAAAGAAGGTGTCTATAAGATAAAAAGTGCAAGAGTTGAGTCCCCCTCAATGATCAGTTTCTTAATTCCTAAACTCCAAGCAAGTTCCATTTCTTTAAGGATTTCCCATAATTCAGCTTCCATGGAATTACATTATGTAAAGGAAATGTAATAGCCACCTAACCATGTCCCTGTATGATCCCTTAATAGTCCTCCACAAGATGCACGATTTATGTGTTTATGAGAAGCTCCATCAAAGTTTAACTTAACCCAACGTCTATCTGGTTTTTTCTATGATATAGTGTTAAGATGATTATGTACTTCTAAACACATCAAATTTGAGCATGTTCTCGCAAGACTAATGTCCTCAATATAGTCTGCTATAATGCTACACCCATTTGATCGATGTTGAAAATTATCTTAATGTAAACTTTTGTTTCTCCAAAACCACAAATACCTGTAATACAAGTGATGGTATCATTATGAGTATGAGTTCACTTAGGGGTGCTAAGCCTGTAATACAAGTGATGGTATCATTATGAGTATGAGTTCACTTAGGGGTGTTAATCCTGTAATACAAGTGATGGTATCATCATGAGTTCAATAGAGTTTAGACTTATAATACAAACACCACATCTTGTCCATAGTTCATATGTGGATGATTTTTTATTTTTCATAACTTTTAATGTAGTACAATTGTTAGATTAGTAGTGTATTGAAATATAATTACTTTCTTATTTATCTTCAAAGTCCTATATAATAGCATAATTTTAATAGAAAATTGGATGATTAGTAAAATTAGAATTTTAATAATACTCGTGTTTGTATTCCTTCATTTCATTTAAGGGGTTTGCATTTGTCATTTAACATGACACAACAAACTTTCCTACACACACAACATTTTGTGGGGCCCACACTTTTTGAAGAAAAAAGAAAAAAAGAAAATTACGGCATGCAAAACGAATCTCTATAACATTACACAATCACTTTTCCTACAACATAACTCTTATAAAACCCTTCATTTAATTTGTAAAATGAGGAGGAGACCAGTGATTCGTTTGTCAATCACAACTCACATTTATTGGTTCCAATCAGTGTTTTAAAACTCGACTCAGTCATTGGCTCGGTCGAGGTACTGAATCATTGGGTCAGTGGTTCAACTGCATAAATTAAATTTATTAAATAATATATAATATATATTAAATTATGAATATTATGTCCAACAAATAAAAGTGGTCTACTGGTAAGCCTTCTGATCCTCAAATATGGGGACTCAAGTTCGAATCTCCTTGCTTGCAAAATTTAACATAAAATCAGTACCGGTTGAACCCGATTTTCCTACGGCCACCTCAAATCGGTGGTTACCAAAACCAAGGTAAGATGATTTTCTTTGTGTTTTAGCACACTTGTATTTATAGTGAGGGGGAGTCTAGCTTTGAGGGCTGATCCTTGCAAGTGGTGGGGCAATTGGGCTAATCATATAATCCTCCCTAGCAAGTATTTCATGTAGAAGAAGATGATTTTCCTTATTTTTTTAGCACATTTGTATATATAGTGAAGGGGCGTCCAGCTTTGGGGGCTGATCCTGTAAGTAGCTTGCAAGCAACAAAGCACGGACACACGTATTTTTAAAAATATGTCTGACACGCTCCGACATGCGTCCGACACGCGGTCAATATTTTGCTCCAACATGTTCCGACACGCAGTCAATTTTTTCCGACACGCATCCGACACGTTTTTTTTTAGGTTTTAATTTATTTTATTAACTAAACATAAAAAAAAATTATAAATCAATTTTTTTCTACTATGAAATTTTATATGAAAAATTAACAAGGTACGAAAAATTATTTTTGTTTATATTTATGTTATGAAATTTGAGTATTTGATTTGTTATATGACTTATTATTGGCTGTTATATGTATTAAATATAAATTATATTATATATATTAAAAATATTATTTAATATCAAAATGTGTCACAACGTGTCGAAATATGACATTTTTTAGAATTAACGTGTCTGCGTGGCGTGTCCCGTGTCAGGGTAACATAACTTGCAAGTGATGAGGCAATAAGACTTTTAATTGGTTCTTGTAAGTGGCCTGGATAATTATTGCAGAAGCATAATTGATATAGAACTAAATTTACAATTGGGCTGATCATATCCCCTAGCAAGTATTTCATGTTGAAGAAGATTATTTTTCTTGTGCTTTAATACACTTGTATTTTTAGTGACGGAGTGTCCAGTTTTGGAGCTAATCCTGTAAGTAGTTTGAAAGTGGTGAGGCCTTAAGATTTTTAATTAGGTCCTATAAGTAACCTGGATAATTATTGTAGAAGAGTTTGTGGAAAGTGTCTTGCAAGAGATTATCTTGTTCATAGTGAAAGATTTTTACAAGTGGGCTTTATATTTATCCCAGATGAATAATGAAATTGAATATATCCTCAACTCCGATACTTTGGTCTTTGAGTTTGAGGAGACCATTCATATCAATACTATACGGGGAATATGACCATTCGTTTCAATACTATACATGAAGTTTATTGATTATGAATGTCTGAGAAAATAGAGAGACACGTGTTTCTAGTTCTATGATAAGTCCTTACTTTGATTCCATTCGTGAGGTCTGTTTTTGACTTATGGGCAACAATTTTGGAGAAAGAAAGGATTGTTGTACACTACTATTGAAAAATGCTCAGTTTCAATTTGTCTGCTAGTCATTTGCTATATTCATAAATAAATAAAGATGCATTATCTCCCACAAATATAAATAAATATTGATGCCTTACTAGAAGAACTACATTATTTCTTGTTAGTTATAAACAGTTCATTGCTTTCCAACTGTCATATGTCGCTAATGAGATTGTATGCTGTCAGTTTATTTTAATTTTTTTTTTAAAGATAGGTTTGCATTAATGTCACAGTTTTCACGCAGTATACAAGTTGTTGCCATAATTTACATTATTAAACTATTTCAACGTTGTAATTGCACAAACTTATATCATACACTTAACTTGTAGAATGGTTATAGTTATTGTTTTATGATCTGTTTGATGGCTATTGGGTACCCAGTTATTTGGTCATTGATTCAATCAATGAATCATTGGTTGAACTGTATGATTTAATAATTATATGTAAATTTATAATTTATATTAAAAAATTATAAACATATTAAAAAAATAATATAAATTCTAAGTATTTTAATATAAAAATAACAAATTATACATTATTGTTCAATAAAGGATTAAACAAATATATAATACTTGTGATACTGGTATTTCAGGTTCAGTAAACGACATCTCTAACTATAAATCAAATCAAAATTTCATGCATAGTACATAACTGATATAATATTATAAGTACAATAACCTATATAAGTCAATAGATAACAGATCACTACAATATGTCAATTATGAATTTTTTTTGTAAAACTTTTTTTTTGGAAATATTTTTTAAAATAAACCAAGTTGGGTCACCGATTTTCACCAAAATCGGCTGGGTTGCACCAGGTCTGATACTTGGCCGATTCAATGTAATAACTGAATCGATCAGATGACCAGTTTACCGGATTCCAGGTCGACACAGCCGGTCCGATCTAATTTTTACAACATTGATTTTGTCAATTGTACCAATAATTTTTTCTTTTTTAAAAAAAAAAGTGAATTTCACAATATCTATAGTGCATGAGATAAAAATATCTCCTCCTACATAATATTATTATTTCCCTTGTTTAATTTGCAAAGTAAACAAGGAAATGGACAAAAAGCACATCACGTGAGACACTAAACTGTTATTTTTTTTCAGTCAAAAAAACACATTTCAATGGGCTCAATTCTTGAGAACGGAAAAAATAATCCTAGAATATAGTTGTTCTTATAATAAATTCAATGCTTGAATCAGACTCC